TGCAATTCTTGTCAATAAAAGTGAAAATAACTACATTTTAACCAAATACTTTGTTTCAATAGCAAATTAAATTTGAAAAGTCCAATTTTGCCATTTTTCATCTGACAAATGACATGAAATTCTGCTACCATCTCCTAATGACTTGAATCTGTTACATGATCAACTTTCAGAGTTGAGGAGTGCATTCATGTGGCAAGGTTGTGGCTCTGCAGTAACTGACTGAATAGTCCAATGACAAAAAATTCCAGACTCTTAAAAACTGAACTTTCCTTCACACACAAAATATTCAGCACTAATATTCTCCTAAACAGATCATTCCACTGATAAATGCCCTTAACTGACTGGTTTCATATCTGTCTAGTGCAACTCAATCAATTGCTCATGAAGCAGTCTCTTTTGTCAGTGTGTTCAAGGCTTTGTTTGTGAAATGGAGTATGTTCCATCTCAGAAGGAAAGAGACAAATTGAATGTGGACTCCTTAATATGCAACTTTCACAGAAGGAATTCAGCAGGAGAAACAAATGGTGTTGTGATGTAATTGGATGTGTGCAAAAGTGACCAATGGTCACATTTTTACACATTAGTGAGCGTTATCGTGATCCTGACTCAATCAAAGTTTACACAAAACTGATGTCAATGTAGAAGGTTATTGTGTCCAGCTACCATGAATGACCGACTGAAGATTTCCTTTGGGCATCACATTCAACCTAGGTGAACTTGCATGAATCTCATGAATGAGCTCATGTTCTTAATGCCTGACCCTTCTCCATGCATATTTGACATTGGGCATTCTCGTTTTTACTCTCCTGTGATGCAATTTTTCATCACTTTTGATTGTGGCCCACCAATAAGAAATGATACACATGTGAGGAAAAGTTGATCACCATTTGAGTGAACTTTGAACTGTCCCAGAATAAAACGTCATGTTCATTAATTGTTCAGATGGGGAATTTTTTTGTCAATGGGATATTATGTAGGGGGTTTTTCATCTGCGATTATTTTTCATGGAATATTCCATCACCCACCTATAGCTTTGACATGTCTTTTCTCAGCAAGTGGAGATAAACAGTCTCATTGTACCTGAACAATGTTGCAAAAACATCCAGAAGCCCATGGTCTACTGAGTTTTTCTGGTTTAGGATTTTTTACCATGTAGTACTTTATCACTATTCCAAGATCTGCATATGTATGGCAGGAGTTGCACTAGGTTTCTTGCTGTGGGGATCCCTGGGACCCTCAGGTCTGATATGGAAGGGTCCCCTGATAATTAAGAGCGTTACTTTCCAAATGAAGTACGATAGTAACTTGAAGGGTTTCCCAAAAGCTAAAGTCCAGCAATCCATGTGTATTTGTCAACTTAACATAACCAAGCAGTATGATATTCAATCCAGCAGTCTTAGGCCTTCTGCCTGTGCATTCTGGAGGTCCCAGGACCCTTGGGATGCATGGGCAGGAGGCCAGGGCAAGAATCTTAGTGCAACCCCTGTATGCTGAACCTTGGAAAGTGATTTAGCTCGCAACTTCTTGCAGTATAAAAACTCTCACAGCAATCCATTCAAAAGTATCTTGTCTGAAACAGGGAAAGAAGAGATGGGGATTACACTCTTTAAAATTAGTGATGTTTTAAACATATTTAAAACTTGAATAAGATCTGTTCATAGGTCTCCATCAAAATATACCCAGACCTGTTTGTGTCACCAGGATTCCCTTTATTAGAAAGTTCAATAAAATGCAATAGGAATCCTACTTGGAAATCACCAAATTCATGGATTTGGTTTGTTTTCAGCCCTTAATAACTTTCAGTGGCTTGTGATTAGTGGCTTACTTGAATTCTATTCCATATCACAAGTTTTAGCAGCAGTTAAAGTTTTTGCCTACTTCTTAATCCCTTTCACATTTCTTCTTCTTTCCCCAAAGACATACTCTTAATTCAGAATCCAGAGCATTTGACAGAATTTTCCATGGAGGCCCATTTAACATGCTTGTGAAACATATTTTAAATTATTTTCTGCCATTTTCTGAGTCTTCTATGATTTTTGGCAGAATATAGCATGTGTGTTCTGCCTCAAGACAAACATCCTGTGTTTTACCATTGTGTGCATGACTTCCACTGAGCAAAATGACATGAACAATATAAGAAATCCTCATTTTGAGGAACTTATTGCACCACATTTAGTGCATGGAGTTGCGAAAATGAAAACGAAAATAGCATGGGCTGAGTTGGACTATTTGTGGCAGAACTATAATTCTTGTAAAAAACATTTTTGACAAATGATTGGCTGCAGATTTATGGAATCATTTACATTCTGTTAGCAAAAGCAGTCTTAAAAGTTACTCTGATGTTTCCATTTTGCAAGCAGTGCTCCAAATTTGTTCAAATGTATGATTGAGCTCCATTTCCCTCTAAAGGCATTGTCTTTACATAGATGGAGCTCATTTCACCTCTCGTTTCACAATGAGAGGTGAAGTGAGGTTCTAAAAGGTGTCTTGGTAGGTTTTGCATCCAGATTGCAGTGTGTGATTTGTGGACTTTGATCATGCTGGGTCCTGCTATGGAAAGCATTGGTGTTGTAACTTACCCCCTTTGGATGTTTTTTTTCTGATGGGGAGGGTAATTAGGGGCCAATCAGATGGGTTTTGATGATGAGGAGGCTTCTGGAGACAAAGGCATTTATCTGGAACTTAGAGCTTTGCAGGCTAGTTTTGAGCCAGCTTTGCAATCTTTCATACACATTTTCTAGAGTGGGTGGAAGAGTGAGCAAAACTTCAGCAAAACAGAAAAATATCGAATGATGTAATTTAATATTTTAGTAGTGTGTCAGAATACAAATTTCATAAATTTTTTTGAAGATGTTTTACCCCAGGAGACATTTTCCTAAAGATATGCATTATGGACTTTTTTTTTCTTTATCGAAGTGGGCAAATATAGAAAGTGGACATTTGATAAGCCTGTAGTTCTTCATGTTCTTATCTTAGGAAAATACAACTTCTGAGGGAAATCCCTTCAGGGCTCATTTTTTGGGAGATGTACTTCTAGGTTTCTTTTTTGCTCCAGCCAAACAAGGTGTGGAGAGCTGAAATTTCACACAGTTGTACAAGGAGGTATTGAACAAAAGCTTTACTTTTTTTGTGCATTCCCTCCAGGCATATCTTTTTTTGAGGGGGAGAGGGTGGAAGTATTTCTTGGAAATATTTAGCACAAAGATATAGATGAATAGAGAAAGGTAAAATTAGGTACTCAAGTAGTTCTTATGAAACTGATTTAATATTTTTACCTTTGAGATTCAGTGTCTAATGGCACATTTTCCAAGAGGCACATATTTTTAAGAAGTTTCTTTGCTTCATCTAAGTGGGCAAATATTGAAATTAGATATTATTTAGTATGCAAATACTTCTCTAGATACTGATTTAAATTACATTTTTGCTTTCACATATATCCTTTCAGTAAAATTTAGGTGGGACATTTTCTAAATTTTTATATGCAGAAAAATACATTTTGTGATCCTGTAGTTCTTGGGGTACTGATTGGAATAAAATTTTCACCTTTCAAGTTTTTCACTGCAGGGGTTTGTTTTTATGAGTGAATTTTCAAGAAATTTTTTTGCCCTGAAGGAAATTGAGTGACACAAAGCTGAAATTTGGTTAATCGGTTCCTGATGAGATGAGAAATCATGAAAATCATACTTTTGGGATGTGGGCACATGTCTTTGAGGACACATTTTCCATTAATTTTTTTTATTATCCCAATTAAGCAGGAACATGAAGAAAGCTGAAATTCTGTAAACTTGTAATTCTTGGAAAGATGAATTCCTACTCTACTTTCCTACTTTTGTCCTACTTTTGAGGTCATTCCCTCAGGACACTGGTTTTTCTGTGGGGACTTTCTGAGGGTTTTTTTTCCCACTCCAGCAAATCAGATGCTATGGAAAACTCAAAAACATTGCACAGAAATATCTGATAAAGTCTATCGTTTTAAGGAAATATTCTACTTCTTTGAAATATCCCCTGGTAGATATACTGGGGATATACTTTTTTAGGTGGGTTTGCCAGATGATCTTTTGCAGCCATAAAATTGCAAAATTATTAACTTTCAATTTCCTAAACATTGTTTTGGAAAATTCACGTCTGTGAAAAACATTAGATTTGAGGTCCTGACATCCTCAAGTTCCTTTTTTTTGGATGGAGGAATGGGTAACCTTACAAATTTTCACTTAACCCTTTGACGAGTATATATACAGCTGACATCCTCCTGCCCTCCACGTATTCACTACAGGTGATCTAGGCATTAAAAAAACCCACTCCTCAAAGGGTTAAGGAATATGATTCTCATACTTGTGTTATAAAAGGCCCTGTGTAAATGAAAAATTTCAAAGGGATGTTTAGAGGGGAAATGAAAAATCTCCACCTGCTGGATGTTGCTAACATTAGTCTGGTAACCAGGGTTTGGTGGCTGGGTGTTTCTGGCTTTGGGGAGGTGAGGGATCAAGTCTTTGTGGCGGTGAGCTGTTCCTCTTCCATGAATGACACGTCTATGAGGGACATGGTACTCAAGTAGCATGTCACTCTGAGAGCAGAGAACATGGTTTAGCTTGTTCAGGAAGTATTGAATGTGAACAGACAATTCATTTTGTGTGCATTTAACTGAACAACTTTTTACATCATCTGGAACAGTTCACAATTTTAATGCAAGATTCACTCATTTTTAAATAAAAATTAAAGTAAAAAATACAAATGGCAAAATGCTGAAAGGAGATCATCAGATTCCCTAAGATATCAAAAGTAATTTGAAAAAGCAGTCTGAGTTTGCACCAAGAAGACCCCATTTTTTGTAGCATGACAATGCAGAGCCTCACTGCAAAAACTTAGGGTAGTATGCTCTCTTGGGGCTGGGAAATACTTCTTCATTCTTGATCTGCCCCCTTTGTGATTTTTTAAATGTTTGGTTGCTTGAAAGATTGCTTGGCAAAAGTTTTCATTCATAAAATCATGTAAATGTAGCAATGAAGCTGAACCTGAAGGATCTGGCCTTAGGTGGAGCTACTGATGGAATCAGCAGCTCCCAAAACTGTGAGAGAAGTAAATAGCAGCTGAGAATAGTTGTTTTAAATAAATAAAAACAGTGTCAGTGATGTGTGGAGTTTTGATTCTAGTGGATTTTCAATTTTTGACAGGTTTGCCTTTTTTAAAAATTATTATTAGGATTTCATGAGCACTAATTGATTAACCCTTGTATTGTGACAAGTGACTTGATATGTGAAAAGTCAATTCCATAGATGTTTAATATATTTTCATATAGGGTAACCCTTGCATGTAGAGTTCTGGACAGGTTGAGAATGAGATTTTTTGATAATTTGAAATCCACTTGTGATTTGAATTTAAATTTGATAGATAAGAAAATTTGCCATTCGTGGGGGACAGCATCAAATGCTTTTGCAAGTTTACCAGAGCCTAAGATTAGGATATATGACTTGGCTACTTCTTATAAGCCTATATGCATGTTCAAGAGCTGTATTATTATGCCAGATGTGTTCTGAATGCAAGTTTTTTTTCATGTTTGTTTCATTGTGTTTCTTTCAGAATATTGCAGAATTTTCAGAACATAGGTCATTCATTCATCTATGGGGAGAATTCTGGAAGCTGTTTTTGGTGAGTCATAGCTAAAACCTAGCTGTCCATGTTAGAGATGAGTTGGATCCAGTGGTATGTTTTATGGGGGAAGGGGGGATAACCGTCCCCTTGGCACCTTTGGGATAGAACTTGGTGCTCCCTTGGAGGTAGTATTTATCTCCCCTGATGTTGCTTGCCCCTGCTCTGCTTCCCTGCCCCCCTCTTGCCTCTTCTAAAATATGCCACTGCACAGTGGGAAAAAAAACCCTCTTTATTGGCTGGTTTTCTGAAGTTTGATTATTAGGCAATCAGGGGTAGTGTATCATAATCTTAAAAAGAAATTTCTATTTCTTTTTCATTTTGGCCTGGTAAATGGGCTTTTGTCCCACTGTGCACTGCTTGGATCTCATCCAAATCCAAGCTTCATACTTAAAGTTCACTTCCTGCATAGTTTATCTTCCTTATCCTTTAAAAGGTATGTACAGACTTCTCATTTTAAAATACACACTTCAGATCATGTCACACCGACACTTCACACACCGATACACCTCTAGCAAAAGACAGTATGCAAGAAAATTTTCAGTTACTGCCTGCGGCTAGTTGTTGCAGCCAATATACTAGTTGGGCAATAAATACCTGACACATGTCAAAGTAATGTTAATTAGGCATTATGAGAGGAAATTAAATGATTCATAGAGCGTATTAAACTACAATCTCAGGAGTTTTGCACATAATATCCATGTCTTGTTTTGTCTCAATTATGTCTTGAAAACAGTGACACGTAAATGTCCACCATTTTCCTGTATTTACTGATGCACATGAGTTACTGTGTTTCGCATCACCTTTTGCTTAGCATTGATTGGAGTATTGGCTAAAGTGCTTTCATCTGCATGCAGTTGAAAATCTCCATTTCTTGCTTATGTTCCTATATATCAATTTATTCATAAATACAAAAACTTAGTTGGTTTTTATCCATTTTTATTTATGAGTTTAAATATGGATCAAGGACATCAAAACAGGTTGGTGGATTGCTTTTTTTTAATTATATATCCTTACATGAAGGCTTAATGCATTGATTGACTTAAAATGAAGAGTCTCAATAACCGATGTTATAAATTTATTTGAAATTAAGTTAATTTTATGAATTGGTGTCTTCAGAATCTTAGAACTTGGATTGCATCAAAATTGCATACTCTTCCAATTTCAGGAAGAAAGCCTTACTCAGAATTCCTCCTAGAACAGAGGTGGGCAAACTATGGCCCTTGGGCTGGATGTGGCCCGCAACAGCATTTTGAACGGCCTGCCAGCTGCTGCTAGAAAATTCATTTGAAAAAACTGCGGGTAGCTGCGTGTCCCACTGAGATGTCATATTTATTCTTACTCATACTTATTTCTCACTTCTGTGGTCTGCTAATGCTTTCATATTTTCTCACAAGGCCCACAGGATAAAAAGTTTGCTCACTCCTGTCCTAGGACATATACCTAACCTATATCAAATCCTACATTCTGACAGGTGGGTCTGTTGCTTTGAGGATTGTGAAAGGAGTGGCATATCATGCATGGTTTCTCCTTCTTGCCATTTCTTTGCTGATCATCTCCAGAGATTTTCTGACAAACCACGAGGAGAATCGCTGTGCTATGACGTTCATGTATGAGCATCCCCAGTATATTGTGAGTTGAAAGTTCATTCTGTATTCAGTTCTCATTTACATTTCTTCCTCCCTTGAGAGGCATTCATCATACTGTGACCAAGTAGGCCTACAGGCCAAATTAACCATGTTACATCCATTTGGGATTTGGGATAATGGAATGGATGGATAGGAGGGGGGAGGGGGAGGGAAGTTCCACCTGGATGTAATGTTAGGTATTCCTTTTATTAATATCCCACTGAATTGGGGTATTGATGCTGCTCTCATTTCCTTTCATTGTCTATTGCATCTGCCATGCTCCATGGTCTGTAGTGAAATTATTGGATGACTTTATAAGTGCATCAAGAATAGTGGGAAGTACTTGGAAGTGGAAATGCTGAAGAAGAAGGGTGCAAACAAAAAAATCCCATAAAAATCAACTGGTTATCTAAAAGGAACACCCTTTAGATGTGGCATGCATCTGGTGACATTCAGGTTTATTGGTTATAGGTTCCTAAGTGTCCCATACAAGGGTTTGGGAAACTGGAAATAAAAATGAAACCAAATATAAAGCAATGACATCTAATAGTAGTAGCTGTTTCTTTCTTTCATGCCCCTGTTCATGATTGAGTAATTTGATAGATTGAGGATTAACCCTTTCAGGCTGGCCACTTGTGCTACTTTTGGCTTACCCAATGTTAGCTTGTTGGCCCTAGGGAAATAGCACTATTGCTGTGGCTTGACCGAATTCAGTGCTGGAATGATGCTTGTTGCATTGTTGAGTGATACTGTATCTATAGACATATTAGGGAAATGGAGATCTTACTGCAGTGTGGTGACAACTGTTTATGGGTGGGATATAAATTGGCACAAAAGTTAGATGTGGGTATATTTTTTAGGCAGACTGAATTTCGTAGTATCTTTCAGGATTTCAGTTCTGATTTTGGAAAATGCTACTGTTTACAGGTTTGCCACTAGAAATGATAGTGATGAAGACTTTCTATTAGATGCAGATTATACTTCAGGGAGTTCTGAATCAAGATTTGACACTGAGGCCAATGCAAAAGTGAGAGAGAATATTGAAACAAAAAGGTCAATAATAAAGGTCAATTTCCTTATTTCCTGGAGGCAAATCCAATACAGATCATCATTATTTCCTAAAGAGATTCCCAAAAACAGCTACTATGCAATTAAATTATATATATGTCTCTTGTGCTATTCACTGACAATTGTGACAGGCCTATATACTTTGACATGAGCTAGAGGCATGCCAATGTTTTAGGTGAATTCATGGCATGGGAGATGTTTCATTTTATGTAGTAAATATTGGTCAACACATTTGCTGCCTTATACATCTGTAGCCATTTTCACACCATCTTCATAAGAGTTGCTTATTTCTTCAAGAGATGTCATTCAAATGCCTCACAACCTTCACAGACCATAGAGTAAGCATCTAGCAATCATTATATATATATTGATTGCCATTGCTTGTTTTAGAGTTATAATTTTTTTGTACAATAGCATGAAAACATCTTCCAGGCAGAAAAAATGCCTGGCCCAGAGGATTAAATGGCCATTTGAATAACTGGCAGTGAGTGTGATAATGAAACTAGGGTTGGATACATTTTATCTGCCTATAGATTATTACAGCAAGATATACAGGGGTATTTTCCACATAGTCCCTTTTGTGTTCAATACACTTTTTCCAGTGCCAAACAAGGGTGTGCATGCTGTCACTGTAAAACTTCTTGTCATTGCCATGAAGCCATTTGCACCCAGCATCAGCATCCTACATTATCATCTTTAACAATCTGTCTCCATAAATAATCCTGAAGTGGCCAAACTGATGGCAGTCTGACAGTGCAAGATGTGGGTTGTAGGCTAGATGGGGTAGCAGAGTCCATCTGAACAAAGTGATTGTGTCAAGTGTGTGCAGGCTGGTGTGTGGCTGGGTGTTGTCATGTTGCAGCAGCACCTGTGACATCTCCAGACCCAGGTGAACTCTTTGGATGCATTGTTTCAATTTTTCAAATGTTTTGAGGTGGTGCTTGGAGCTTATTGTGGCACCCTTAGGTGTGAAATTGATGACACCTTACATATCCCAGAACACTATGACCATGGCATTCCCAGGGGAAGTTCAAGGTTGAAACTTGAACTTCTTCTTTTGGGGAGAGTTTTGATGGTGCCACTTTATGGCTTACTACTTGGTCTCTGGGGTCATAATGGTGCACCCACATCTCATCACCAACAATGATGTGCAAAAGAATTGCCTTGACTTCAACCTCAAAATGCTCAAGCAGTTCAGCTCAGGTGTTCTTCCAGTTTTGTTTGTGAAGGTCCTTTAGCATTTGAGGCAGACACTTTAGGGTAGCTGAGATTGTGGATGATCTTGATGATTGTAGGTTTTCTGAAACCCACAATGTGATGATGCACCAATCATTCCAAATCAGCTCATCCACTCTGTACATTTTCAGTGTCATTGCTGTGGCAGGTCATTTCACATTTCAATGACCCTTTATTTCTTGTACATGGTTTACCCATGCACTTCATCAATCCTCTTTCTACATCTTACCCAGCATATCAAGTACATAATGTTATGTGCTAACAAGTCTAATTGTGTGAGCAATCGCTTTTACTTAAAGTTGCTCCCTTATTTTCTTAATACCAAATAAAAGCATTCTTTCCTACAATAAATTTTTTTTTTACAAATACTTTTCTTACCCGCAGAAGCAGAAGGTTCCAAATATTGATGGACGAATATCACAGTATGGCCTTTATGTCTATGGTGAAGGAGTGCAGGCAGATTCCCTTAGGATGGGAATCTTCACAGGCATACCAATCTTGTTCATCCCTGGTAATGGTGGATCTTACAAGCAAGGTTTGTGTTGTTCTTTCTGGACATTATTGGGGAGGATAGGCCTAAACATAACCATAAATCTGCATCATGAGTACATTGCTGGCTCATCCAATCATGGTTTGTTATTGGCATTGTTGAGAAGCCTTTTTGCTTGTGCTATTCAAACTTTTTGAGCCAAGTGTTGCATCTGGACATGACCAACTTAATCTGCACTGCACCAAATAACATTTTTACTGTTACTAATCTAAAACTCCTCATGACTAAAAGTAATTGTCTTTGTGGCCACATGCAAAGCATTCACAGGCTACATGTGGCCTACAGTTTGAGTACCACTGCTTTATGCAAAGTAGGGTATTATGAAAATGATAGATGTATGGTACTCAAGAATTTGAATGCATGTTAAGTCAGAAGTGGCTTTGAAGTGTACTGTTGCCATCTACTCTGTGTGAAACCATGCTCTTGCATTTGTTGTTCCCATCAGTGAGATCTGTGGCTTCAGTGATGTATAGGAAGCACCTGGAGAAATTCCCACGAGTTCACTTTGACTTCTTCACTGTTGATTTCCAAGAGCACCTCAGTGCTCTGTATGGGCCAGTGTTGGAAGATCAGATTGCCTTTATTCAAGAATGTATAAAGAGGATTATTTCCCTGTATCCAGAAGACAGGAAGCCCACTGGAATTCCCATCATTGCCCATTCCATGGTGAGTGACTTATTGTGTCCCATGCTATGGCTCTCCTGATATTCCTGCCTTCATATCTTGTCATCTTTTATTCTGCTTTGTAGGGAGGCATAGTTGCCAAAGGAGTATTACTGAAAGAGAACTTCCCATCTACTCTCATCCCAGTCATATTAACTCAGGCAACCCCACACATCACTCCAATTGTCAAAACAGATTTTTACATGGCCAAAATGTACAATTTGCTGAAAGAATTGAACATAAGTCTGCTGAAGGTAAATGTGGTTTCAATCATGGGTGGCTTCCGTGATATCCAGGTTCCTTCTCATCTTGGAGAACTTGGTAATAGCTCCATATATACTGTGGTAAGTCACCTTGGTGTATCCAGCATTTTTTTTTTAACTTGTATGTTAATTCTTTCTCATCTACTGCCCTGCTTTCCCTTTCCATCTTTATTCCCTATAACATTCATTCTGCTCTTCCTCCTCCCTCCCTTTCATATCCATCACAATTTCTGACCTCTCCTCTCAAGGATGGCAGGAAAGATTCACAAGTCTGACAAAAGTACTATCTCTTTTTCTGACAGATTATCAGCAGTCAGTAAATTGTGGCAACTTTTCATAGGTGCAAATGTCATTGATCATGACTTACCATCATATTCCATGAAGGATTTGATGAACAAGGAACTTACTGCATTTTCACTGTTATGTGCCCCTTTCAGACTGTATGTATGATATTGCAGAGTACAGGTGTTCCTTCAGTTTGGATGTCCACTGATCACCTGTGCATAGTTTGGTGCAAACAACTTGTCCTGGTCCTTGCCCGTGCCCTCTTTGATATTGTGGATCCTGTAACGAGGCAAATCTCCTCTAATTACACTTTCCGCAATCAAGTGTTTTACTACCATTTCATTCATGTGAGTCTGCCTCTTTGCACTGCATCATGTTTCCCCCAGAATTCCTTGCTAGAAAATGCCTGGATGTGAAATGTGTTTGCACCATATGGGTGCAGAGATCTGCAGGGAAGCGTTTTACTACATCGGCACACCCCAAATCAGTCATGTTGAATCGAGATGCAAAATGGGTGGAGCTCTCTGTCCAGCGAACCTGGACCTATAACTCAATGTCATCAAAGACTCACACCTACCTCCTCCTTCCTTTGTATGCTGATCAAAAATATGAGTTGAGTACCATTGAGGCCATTCATCATGAGGAAAGGGACTGGATATTTGTCTGCAAGGCTTACATCCCTTATCAAGGCCAACGGATTTGGTGAGTCTCTCATTCTATAGGAATTTAATCTCACATATATCCTGCATATCCTATCATCCCATGCTTTTATGTTGGAACTACTTGTTATTGATGGTATATGTGAAATACCAAGTGATGATTCTTCTCCAGGAGAAATTGAAGAAGACAAATTACCAGACTTTCCAAAAAAAAGGCCTTTATTAAGGCATTTAACAGGTTGACTGCTAAAAGGCACTCCAGTGTGCCTCACTGAATGGGAAAATCAATAGGCCCGCATTGCTATGGCATTCAACGTGCTAAGGGAAATCTACAGGGTGACCCAAAAGAAAATTCCAGTCAGGTGATCTTGACCTCTCGGATAACCATCATTTGGGATGATCGGTGATGCTGGACAATCATCTCCTGAGGTCAGAGATTGAGTCAGACCCCCATCAAACCATCCAGCAATTGGCAGAAAAACTCAATTCTTTGTGATCCAATGTTCAAAAACACCTTCAACGGATCAGGAAGGTTAATAGACAAGGCGTTTGGGTTCCCCACCATCTCTCAGCTGAACACAAAGCCCGGCACACAGCAATTTGCAATACATTGATGATGAGACAAGAGAGAGAACCATTTCTTCATTGAATTGTTACTGGAGATGAGAAATGGGTTCTTTATGTCAACACCAAGTGGAAGAACCAGTGGCTATCCCCTGACCAGCAGCCTGTTCCGACAGCAAAACCAGGCCTACACCCTCAGAAAGTCCTGTTGAGCGTTTGGTGAGACAGTGTTGGTATAATACACTTTGAGGTATTGGAGACAGGTCAGACCATTACTGCAGACCTCTGTTGTCAACAATTGGACCATTTGCACCATGCTCTGATTGAGAAACGTCCAGCACTGGTCAACAGAAAAGGGGTAATTCTGCAGCACGACAACGCAAGACCACATTCTGCAAAATGACCCAACAGAAGATCAAAGATTTGGGTTGGGAAGTCCTGCCTCCCCTCCCATACTCACCCACCATTGCCCCATCAGATTATCATTTATTCCAACCTCTGCAGCAGGTTCTTAGTGACAAGACTTTCAGAAATATTGATGTTATCAAAACTGCTCTCTTGGAATTCTTTGCCTCAAAGCAAGCCTCCTTCTATAAACAGGGAATTGAAAATTTGATAAAAAGATGGGAAACTGTCCTTGATAATGATGGGGATTACATAAATGATTGAAGCTAAAAAAAACTACTTGTAAAAACAAATGTTTGTGATTAATAATGTTTATGATTAATAATTAAATGTTTGTGATAATCTATTAATCACTAACATTTGTTTTTACAAGTAGTTTTTTTTTAGTTTCAATCAATTATGTAATCCCCATCATTATCAAGGACAGTTTACCATCTTTTTTATCAAATTTTCAATTCCCTGTTTATAGAAGGAGGCTTGTTTTGAGGCAAAGAATTCCAAGAGAGCAGTTTTGATAACATCAATATTTCTGAAAGTCTTGTCACAAAGAAACTGCTGCAGCCCTAGCACACTCTTACAGTGCATGCTGTGAATGCTAAAATTCCAAATCCAGCATTTCTCTACTGTGGTTCTACAAATCCCAAAGGTTCTGCACTAACGCTTCAGGGGGTCTGTGAAACTACCCAGATAAGAAATAAATATTGGGCAAAATGAAATATTACTATGAATTCTTAATGAGAGATGTGAATTCCTGATTCTGTAATTGATGTGAGTTTCACAATAAGTAAAATCTAAGTCACCATCAAAGGTTGAGATCAAAAGTGATTTGAAAGCTTCCTAATGTCATGGAAATGAGATTTAAAATTTTCCTCAATTCTGTTCCTCATGTGAGGCAATAACCAAGGAGTAATAATTGTTTCAGGCATATTAATTTTCTTTGTCTCCATCCAATAGTGAATAGAGGAAGCAGTTTCCCTTTATGCTTGGGAAACCTCTCATCTATTATGAAAGTGAAAAATTAACCGATCTATGAAAAAGTAAAGTTTCAAATAGTGAAAATAAATTCCTCTTACTGAATACATGGTTTAATAGATCAGACAGTTGAAATGTTTAATTCCATTGGTGCAGCATATTCAAAACAGATGATTGCTAATGTTCAACCATCAATTTTTGGTTGAACAAAAGTAAAATAGGCAATTCAGCAAATCTACATTTCTTTCCTAGGAACAGTGCTGGTTGGACAATGCTAAAAGGAGCTTGTTGTGAGGCAGGAGTTTCCTATCCATATGGTCTGCTTTGCTATGCAATGATGTTACCAGCTTATTTGCCATGATGCCAACTAATCCATTGATAATATTAAAAGGAAGATTCCAATTATGTATATTTAATGTCCCACAACCTGAGGTGGGAGTACTAAGTGCTCAGGGGTCTACCTTCCCAAGCTTGCTGGGACTTGCACTCAGATATAAATGTATGACTTTGTTGGGTTCAAACCTGGGTCCCCTGCCACAGTAACCAGGATTGTTAGTAACCAAGCCACATACTTGCCCCAAATGTATGCAGTGGTAAAGGGAGTTCATGCAGTTCCTCTCTCTATTCCAAAAGGGGTATGCAAGTTAAAAAGGTTATGAGCCGCTGCAAGTATCCCAGTGTTAATTATGGGATAGAGGAGTTGTGTATTGTGAGCTTGCATTCAAATACTGACTTAGCAAGCCTGCTTTTTCAGGCATGGTATTGTATATCAGAACAATGGCTGTTTTTAATACAATTACAGTGTGTTCTGGCAGGCCTCATTCAGTCAGCATGAATAAAAATTTAGAAATTTTCTTGAACATTTGATAGTCGTATTGTTTATGATGCTGTCCTAAGGATGGAGCTCTGTTTACAATGGGACAGGAAACATGTTCAACATGTCATCCATTGATTGCTACGATAACCTAGAAAAATTAAAAGTAGTATTTGTATGTATGAAATATATGCACCCAAAAAAGAAACACATTGTTGAATTATGATTATATTGTAAGTACAGTTCAATGAAGTTACAACATATAGCTAAAAATTCAAGTAGGGCAGAGTGAGCTTAAGTGTTTGACATCATTTTGCTCTTAAATGTGCACAATCTGTAACCACTTGTACATGAATTGAGCCCAGTAAAATGCATGTAGATACCATTTGTTCAATGAAACCCAGTGCAATATAATGTAATGCTGTTTTCAGTAAAAGGGCTAGATTCTCATCTATGTTAAGGCAGTCGTAGTGCAATACAGCCATCAAGGATGCCGAGACTCCCAGAGGTGTATTGCAATAATGCTATTAGGAGATTGGAAGCTGGTGAATCCCAGTCATCAGTTGCAAGACATTTTAACATGCACAAGAGTACTGTCTCAAGGTTATGGGACTGGATCCAGGAACATGGTTCAACGTGTGACGGTCCACACTCAGGCAGATCAGGCATCACCACCCCTGCTCTAGATCAGTACATTCAACTCGAACATCTACAGGATCAGTTTGCTACTGCAACCTCTATGGCATCAACAGTGCCTAGAGCAGTGGTTCCCAACCTTTTTTTGCTGTGACCCTAAATTGATCACCAACAGGTGCTCCTGACCCTCAGGCTTATGATAAAATTTAAATACTTATATCAGGTTGTAAAGGTGAAATTTAGACATTTTCCAGAAAACAATTTATTGACAATTAACTCAACAACGACTAGAGTGCAGTCTTGCGTCAATGTATCTGTTGTAGGTTCACGATAAGCACTCATGCCCACAATGCCCACTGGTCACTCTACTTATACACCTACATAGAAAGTTCTAACATTTTCCAGATTTTTATAGAAAAAATCGAAATGTCTAAATTTCACCTTTACAACCTGATATAAACATCTTCATAATGAAATATGATGCATTTTGAAGAAATATTTTTTTCTTCCGATGACCCTTTGCGACCCTACCAAGAATCCCCCGAGACCCTAATTTGGGTCGTGACCCAAGGTTGGGAACCACTGGCCAAGAGGGTGGAAAATGTAGGCTTAAATCAACTGCAAAGCGCATGCGTGCAGCAAGTTTGAGATCATGACAGCCACTTTGTGGGTTTTTACTACAATACCAGAAGAGGTGCCTTTTTTGCAGTGGTGTCAAAGGCATAGAGTATGCTCTCAAATGTGTTGGAGAACAATCATATTCAATGATGAGTCCCGATTTCTTCTGAGAGGTACTGATGGTTGCATTCGGACTACATACTGTCACTATGTGTTTCTTTTTTGAGTGAGTATATATGATAAAAGCACGGAATGACTAAAAAAAAAACTGGTTGCTGTTCTAGGTATTTATATTACTTTTTCTCTGGATGACCATGTACAATCTGAGAACACAATGAGTCCTGAAGTTTCATTCATCCCCAGTATAATATTAGTCAGGTCTGAGTTAGACTTAGTTCATTAGGCCCACTATCTTTGTCCAGGTTGAGGCAGTTCCTGGAGAGGTAAAAAGCATATATCCAACCCTTGATTTTTTTAAAAATACAGTGATGGAGAAGCAGAGAACCTGTCAGACAAGGGAAGTATTATTCCTTCACTTATGGGGAAGAGGAAGCTAGTTCACTTGAATCTCCATGAACTGAAGAATGCCAACTGGACACATGTCATCATCTCTAAGCCTGCTTCTTCAAGAGCAGTCTGTGTTCTTTATTCTGATATCTAGTATATGGTTTTGTCTTCCTCACTCAGTTTCATTCATATATCTTTTTTCATCACAGGGAATTAGAGGGGAGGTGTATGGAAGAGAGGAGCGGTTTCAAATGAAATATGTCTCCTTCTGGAAAGCAATGTTGCCAGGATACCACTCATTCCTGCAAATGCATGAGGAACACAACATTTTCTTCAATGTCTCCCTTGTTGGATTTAGACATTTCTGGGAAGTCTATGCCATCTCCTGGGAGGCTTTTGACTGCTTAGACAAGGATGAGCTAATGGCCTCTCTGGCTCAATTCCATGTGCCTTGGTCCCATGAGGATACTTATTTTCATCTGGTGTAAGTAGTAGGTCATATACCTTTCCTAGCCAAATCTTCATTTGATCATAGAACACTAGAGGCCCAATGCCCATAATGCATTTCAAACATGAGCACTCCCTCTTTATATCTTGAAAGCATTGTTCCCCAAATCATTCTACTCTGCCATAGAAATATCTTATTCTAGGAAAAAAAAAAAAAACTGAGCACTCCCCATGCTTCTTGAATGGATATTCTTGTGATACCCAGGGGTCATTGTTCACTGTCCATCATCCTGGAGATGGTTGTCAGACAACTTGAATTTAGATTGTGTAACTTTTGTGGTGATGATAACTTAGTAATTATCACTAGTAATTCATTTCTATAATTATTTTATTACTTCATATAATAGTTTAAAAATAGCAAAATATGAGTATGGATTATCTGAAACTACCCAAAAGTCATAAAGGGGTCAGCTCCTTATTTTCAAAAGTGAAATTAAACAGTCACAAATGTGACCAGCTGGCATATGAAACTATAGCCCTGTTCATATTCATTGCTCAAAATTGTGTGCCATCATGGCAAATGTTATATTGTTGGAAAGCTCTCAACTCCTCTAATTACATATACATTATATAATGACAATTGTAGGACTTTCAATTGGAAGATTCATCAATTCTATGGCACAAGCATGATAGCCTGTCCAGCTGTTCCCGACCGTTGCCTGGCATGTGCACAATAATCCATTTCAGGATGTGCTTCTGATCAAGCATGTCTTACAATGTTCCTGAATTATTCACCCTAAACCCTTATCTGGGCTATGGGAGCCTGTTAGACTCCCCAGGGTACATTTCATTGCATTACTCTCCAATTTTTTCAAAATTTCCTAAAAATGTAATGTGCATTATCCATAGATCCAGAAACTATTTTTTAAAGTCATGATTAGCTTTAAAGGGAAAATTTTTTTACATTTTTGCCTTGCTCATTTATGTCACAGGAAGACCTTGCCTGGATAAGGGTTAATGCAGGCTTGTCTATCTTTGGTGAATACCCCTTATTATGTCCCCAATTTCTCCAATCACAGTTCACCATCTAAGCTGCTACCTCTTACCCTGTCCCCTGTCCATAAAGCCCAGTAGACAAAAATCTTGGATGGCTACTGTCCACTCAAGGTTTTTGTGGACTCCTTGGTTGTTGAGGTCCTATGGTTTTTTGCAGGGGAAGAAGTGGATCCTTCTCACTGAAGCTTCAGTCTATTGGGAACCGTCCTGCTGGGGTCTGGCCTCAACTCCATATCCTTCTTCGCTCTCACTGCAAATTCTCTTTCAGGTCATTATCCATTAAGAACTTCTTTCCACACACATGGTTATGAGTAGGAATGTGAATTTCTGATTGGTCCATTTTCCACTTCCAGGCTGAGAAGCTCCTTGATTGAGAGTGGAGGGCAGGTGCTACGTGTTCATTGGCCTCATGTGCTTGTATACATCCTCTTGAGTGCATGCTTGGCCTTGAGGAAACAGCTGAAGAGTTTGGCAGAAGGGAAGCATCCCATCTCACTTCATGTTGCTCTCCTGAACAGTGATGGCCTCCTCCTTCTCATTCTTCCCTCACAAATCATCTCAACCATATACTTTGAGTGAGGCAGTCCTTCCTAAAAACATTTTATGATTAGTTTTATTCAGATAATATGAATACCAGTACTCTGGCCCATTGAATTGTCCCTGTACAAACTTGGATGTGCCTATAGAAAATTCTCATCAATTCAACCAACAGCAGATCTCTCCTTTTATTTTCACATGGACATTATGAATGGTATCTGTTTTTTTGCAAGTTAATAGTTGATCTGTCCTGCGTAGTAGGTAGCTCTCAGCTTTTTCTCACGAAGAAAGCTTCTGAAGTTTTCTTAACAATGAGGCAGTATGTTTTGGGTCTCATTAACAGTTATAAGCTTGAGGCTCATGCTAAGAATATAAGGTTTTTATCTTAGAGACCAGTACCTTTCATTCCTTTGATAGCCTATATCAGTAAGTATGCACAAGCTTAAATTAGAAAACAAGCAAGATTCCATATCCTCTGATGCTTTTCCTGGAAAGAATCTCTTTTTTTATTCCAGAGAGGTGAGAAAACCAAGAAGTCTGAGGTACTAATACTACTAATAGTGAAAATGCTGAAAAGTACTTGTATAAAACAGACTGACCTATAACAAAAACTTCTTTGCTGATTTAAGCAAATGAGGTACCAATGGACTTATCTTTATGTAGGGTGTGCTTTTTTGTCTCATATATTTGTTGAATGTTGAAGGTACTGAAAAGTTAGTGTCCAAAGTGCATAGACTGAGACAAAAGAAACGACTGCTGAGGTTTTGAAAAAGGAGAACTGAAAGGAAATTTGCCTTGGGATTTAACTTGTGCCATTTGTGGGTCTTAAGTACTCACTCAGTGCTTGCAGTTTGAAAGAAGTACCTATGAAAGATGCAGACTTACTATTTAAAAAATTTCAACCAATGAGGCAAATGCAGGCTTGTCTTGTGTACCTGTAGAGTACTTGTTTGGCTCAAGTACTGAACTAGTACTATACTGAGCAGTATATGTTATTCCCAGCATGCAGGCAAATGGAGCAAAAGCCTCCAGCTGAATGTTCACTAGAGAGATCTTGATAAACTTCATAGTAAGGGTAAGCTTCAGGGGGTGTTAGGTATAAAACTTCAGGGGTATTCTCATTAGGGTTTCCAATATTGGAATGCTATAAAAGTTGTAATAATAAAAAGAATAAAACATACTTGCAGTTGAGAATTCATGAGACTGCTAAACTGGTGGTTAAACTACTTTTCTGACTGACAGTTCAAGGACCAGTTAACTTCTTGAACAATGAATTTTGCCAATGCCCTGTTTTGGAGTGGTAAGTACTAAACATGGACTGGCAATCCTTAAAGTGCTTTCAGTATAGTCTTGCATCACTTGAGGCAAATGAAATGTACCATGAGAGTATTTATATTTGAAATACCTAAGAGTAAGTAAGTATTGAAAGTACTGAAAAGTTCTCACCATTAAAATATGTTAATAAGCACCTTAATAGCAAAAACTCATTCACCAATTCAACAATGAGATACTGGTTGCTTGGTTTGCCTTCATGATGTTTGTTATTAGTGAAATAGTGAAATAGGCAAGTAGTGAACCATCAGTGTGAAAAGTATTCAATACTTTTAGTGAAGCCTGCATTTCCATTCAGGTACTTCCCATTCCATTTCACTCATGCACGTTCAGAATTGGAATGGGAAGCACCTATTTTCCGTCATCCACTCTACCCCATAGATGCCATAGGAAATCTAACCATTTCATATGTATTGCTGCATACTATAAGCTCTTCTCTGACAAGGAAAGTGTAAGTCTATGACCTTCCCACACCTTTTTCCTTCATGTATTCATGAAGTGCACAAATATGGAAGAGTTAAAAATGAATTTAAACTTTCACAAATAGAGTGGATTGAAAAGGGGCAAGAAATGTCTTGAATTATAGAAATACGTCTCTAGCACAAGTGCCCTTGAGCCATCATCAAGTCCAGTTTCATTGGATTAAGCAGGAAGTACATGAATTTCATCTGAAACAGTTGAGGAATAACACTTGTCCCTTTTGACTAGTGACACATAGCATTCTGGACTGAGATGAATCTGGCATACATTAAAATACTGAAGCACATGAATGGTGGGACATTGGCTTGATTTCTGTGGTCAACTAGACTGAGGAAGAACTTGAACTTGAGATTGATATATCATGAGTTCATGAGCCACCTCCTTCAGGGCTGACAGTGCCACTTGCCACTTCTTGTATGTACTTTAACCCTTTCACTGTGTATTTAATTGAGTGTTTACATCAGTAACTCCAAAATTTTTAAACTTATGTCAGCATGTATCAAATGTCTGAGCAGATGAAATTTTATGTTCTGTTGTTCAAGTTGAATGTCATACCATGCAGACAAAATAATTATTGGATGCTGACTGTAATCAAACTTCATTCATATGGTATGAGGTGCAGCTTGACTCCAGTTGAATGTTGCAACAAAAGGGTTAAAGTAAGTGACAAGTCCTTTCTTCCATGGTCAGTGATTCACAAATTAAAAGAATCAATGTTCCAACAGCAAGTTCGCTTGAATCATAATGCCCTCAAATACCCAAAATCTGAGAGTGACTGATGCACACAACATAATTATATACTGCTCTGGCATTTTATTTCATATTTGATTGAACATATTCTTGAGGAGTGTTATTGACATCTATTAGATCTAGGGAGTGCAAAATTTAATTTCTTCTTGTGTTATCAGATAACTGCCACTGTTAATTGCAATCAATTAGATCTGAAAAGTACAAAACAACTTTGTCCAAGGGGCAGCTATTTTCTTAAGAGCTGGCAGAAAAGCTGAAGGTGATGCTGATGAGTTCAAGGTGACGTAGCAGAAATGATTATCCTTTCTGATACATTTCACACAATTTTGATAATCCTCATTTCCTATGGTCATTGTGTCAAAGTCATGTCAAATAAAGATATTGTCTCCCTATTCATATTTCTAGACTCTTCTATCCCATAACAATCAGAAAGTGCACCTTAATGCCATGATACTTGTACACCATACATGTTAGTATCTTTGGCAATTTCTATTGACTTTCATTTATATGCTAGGCAAAGCATAGTGGAAGGAATTGAACATGGGATCCTCCGACTTTTCTTCTGTGCCATTGGACATTCCCTTGCCTACATTTTATCATATGGTCTGTGGGCTGCTGTGTTTTTCCATGGCAACACTGTTAACTCTCTCTTCAGAAAGTGAGTCAGCATTTTACTATTATTACATCCAAAATCCACCTCTTAGGTAATCTTAGATTGCACTTTGAATTTAATAAAATGCATTTCAGAATGGTGGGAAGATTGGGAAGATCATCACTGTTGGAGGAATTGTTGCCAGAGGCTGTGAACTCTGTGCCCATTGTCCTACCTGCAGGTCTACTGTTTTTGGCCTTCATGACATCTGGCAGCTTTGCTCTCTTCCTCAGTCTTCTCTTCTATATCTCCAAGGTCTCCACAATCCATCCCTGGTACTCCATATTAGAGCCTGTTGGGCTGTGAGCTGATCTGGCTGATCCAGCCTGATTTGACCTGACCCATTTGGCAAATAGGGAAGAAATCAGAGTTCCCTTCTTGTCAGGTTGGGTCAGACAAATTTTATTTTTCATTATGCTTTTATTTATTATTTTTTCTAACATCCAGGCGGTTTCCATTTGGATTAGAATTTGGTTTATGCATCTTGTGTGAGAGTGGTAATAGTTTATTGTATGACAAAGATGGTCAATATGAGAACCTCTGTAGATATATTTTTTTACCATAAGCTCAAAAGTTACAGAGGTAAGATTTTGAGGGGGAATGAATGCACTTTCTGTCAGCACTACTGTATTATGTGATAACACACCTTTCATCAAAATTTGCCCCCAAGTTCTTGCATGGAAATCGACAGGAATGGCATTTGACCTTGAGCAAAGAACTGGTGGAATGTGTAAAGATCTGAACTTCGTGAAAATAACCATGAAAATGAAAGCATGTATCTGCAATAATTATCCCATGACCAAGACCCAATCATCAGTGTGGAAGAGTTCAGACACACACCAGCCATAGTGTCATACCATTCATTCTGCAAGGAAGGTGATGCTTATTGTTTTTATTCACTCCAATGGTATTGACTACTACAGGTACCTGTGGAAAAGTAAAGTTTACATGGAGTTTATTATCTGGCTCTGAGCTACAATTTTTTGTCAATGCCCTGCAGTGTAGCAGTGGACTGGGTGCTTCAGCATAATGCATCTACACATTTTCATTGTCATGTTTGTCTTTCTGGCACTCCACTTTAACAACAACCATTTGCCCTATTCATCAGACTAGCACCATGTGACTTTTTGCTTCCCATGGCTCAAACACAAGTTGGAGGAATGTGGATTCACCTGTCAGGTCACAAGTGCCACAACAAGTGAACTGAGAGGCTCTACAAAGGACTGCAGAAGTACACTGAACTGTACACCTGTTGGAAAAAGTTCACAACCTCACAAGGGTACCAGTTTGTCCAATTGAAATGAAAGGTAGAAGTGTGTCCACAGAAAAATTTCTGAACTTTTTTGATGGGTAAAAGGGGGCAAAGACTGAGATATTCAAGAGTCAGAGAATTTACACATTAATTTTAGCAAGGAGGTTTCATAGAAGTAATTAACAAGTATGAATGCAGGACATTTGTGAAAATTCTGACTTTTTAGGCCAGTGGGAACCAAGTGAGGGATAAGAGAATTGAAAAACCTCTATACCCCTTATAGATTACCTATTTTGTCAAGTAGAGTAGGAGCATCTGGATTATCCATACTAGCTGAAACCCATGTTATTGCTCAGGTCTCTGCTGTTATATAAACTTCACTCTTACTCCTTCTCCAGTTTTTTTCTTTTGGGGAATTTTCTACGAGTGTGCATAACTCTGAGAAAATTGCCTGGTCTTCTTTGCTTGTTCATTTACTTGAAAATGTTTTTCCATGAATCAAAAGTGGAGAGAGCAGAGAATGTTTTCTTATAAAATTTAAGCATCTTGCACATGAATATAATGGTACAGAAGCAGTTTTCTCGGTCAATGTTTGAAGAAAAAAACTGTGGCTATTGGTTTTAATAGTCTTTTGCTGGGTTCTTAAGATGGAGGGACAGGTCTTTCATGCATTTATGTGTAGGGGGATCTCAGTCCTTTATTATTGCATTGATAGGAAAATAATAAGGACTGGATGAGTGGGAAATATATAAAAATCCCAAGCATGCCATAAATAGAGACCTTCATGGGCCCCCCTTCAAGGCTCTGCCTATGTCATCTGACATTTTTGTCAGATTTCTCTATGGCATACCAGTTAAGGGTTAAATGATGTTCCTTCATGTAAGACTCCCCCATGGTTTGGTCTTGGTCTTTCACATAGTTTCACTCTTCTTTCGCTCATCCTCAAGATTCAGGCCCCATACCATTGTGTGTTGAATCAATTGACATCAGAACTACTATTCCTCTCTTTTCTGCTCAATAAGAACTAATGAATCCTTCAAAATGGCAATGATTTTCTTAGGATACCAGGAGACCCATGGAAAGCACATCCTCCCCCAGGCCATAAACTTGCATGTCAATTTTGGTCACAACCTGATTGTATATCTGGACCACAGACCTGTTGATATGTAGCCATCACTCAGTCACTTGACTAGCTCGCAGCCCATAATTAGTGGGATAAAATTATCACTTTGAGTTTGGCCCATTCTGCAGTAGATTGTTGTTATAATGCCTGTGATGCTGTTGATTTTTGCAGCTGTGGAGATACCATGAGATGTATTTGGAGGCACTTCTGCAGGAGAGAGATAAAAGTGCCTTGGATGCCATGTTAGGGGAGTTCAACTTCCACCTCTGTCTCTGTCTCCTCTGGACCCTGAATACGTTCCTCGTCTCCCCATCCCTTGTCTTCTGGGCCATCAATCTTAAGTCAGTGCCTCTGACACTCCCTTTGCATTCATCCTAGGCTTACATCCCTAAATGAGCAACACTCTCTTTGTGAGCAGGGGAGGAATTCAGCTCAGGCCAGATCCTGCCTTTCTGATCTCACTTACATTCATTTCATCCCTTGTCTTCCTCTGGAGAGATGGCACTCCTTCCATGTCACCGTAAGCACATCTTTTCTTGCTTTTGGGTTTCCTTCTGATCTTAGGCTATATGTTTTGGTGGTATTCTGACATGCTTGTATATGCAACTATCAAGGGAATTTCTGAATGAAATATTAGCTTTAGGTTACATGAACTGATCCAACAGAACATCCTACCTTACTGTCTCTGCACTACCATGAGCTTTTATCAAACCTGAAGAAAACTAAAGTAGGACATAAAAACTCTTCATTTTATGAACAGGTCTGAGCTGCAGGACTTGCAAGGAATCTGTAGCACCATCTTATTACTCATTTGCAACCTGTGTTGTATCCTCATCTCAAAGGTTTTACTTTAATGTTGTTTTAAAATGTCAATACTGACATTTGTAGGCTTTCTGCAATATTGAGTCCAGCTGGGAGGATGGATGACCATCAGCACCTGCATGCTTTTGATCCACTGATTGATCACTCTTTCCATGAGGTGGGGAGTTAGGGGGCAGATTCAGAAAAGGAAGGGCATTTGGCACTTTCATGTCAGTGCTTTTTTTTGAGCTGGTTTAAGTACCTTGCAATAATTGCATCTGGAATATATTCTTTGGAGATGACAGTTTCCAGAGTTTGCCCATCTGGCAGACTGTAACATGCAGAATCACTCCCAAAAGCACCGCCAAACATTCATGCAAGGACCATCGTCATTTTGTTATATTTCATATCATTGTCTTATTTGTGTCATCTCCTGTCTAGCATATAATTATGCATCAAGTTTGAAAATAAATTATGTCCCAGTGTCATGGAAGCACAAATGCCCCCCCCCCACCCACTTCAAGAAAGTGTTATGCATGCATCTCTGACTACTAAGCAATATCTCCTTAAACCTCCTCTGGTGTCTGCATAATTTTATATTGACATTTCTGAAATGTTCACATATCCTTGCCAGGGAAAGGGTTAATCAGTAAAGGGACAAACTCCTCAAGTCAGATTTTTTGTGTAGACTTTCATGACATTAACCCCATGAATGGTATACTCATGTTCAGCAGTCGGGCCTGAGCGGATTAAAACTTCCACAACAGTGATTCCCTCCCTTTCTTTACTGATGGCACACTGGATACCATTTCTCACTGGCAGCAAGGTTTGAAGTCCTTAAAATTCCCATGTGATGCTGCTTAGTGGTTTGGGGAGTCTTTACAAATTTTGCAGTGTGAGCATAAAATTGTCCTTGGTCTTTTGCTTACATTGTGTGGCAAAAATGCTGTAGATTTCTTCTGGTATTTTCCCCCCTCACTCAGCTCATGTCTCACACCATGCCTGAGCTTTGCTGATGGCACATCAGTTAGTAAACATTGCTCTGCAACACTAACCTCTCCTTCAGTACCAAGACAGGTACATGTCACCAGGAATCAAAATTCTGAAGATATTAATTAATATGGGGCCTTGAGGAAGCACTCTTACACTTGACCAATGAACAATATCAAAATGGCCATGAGACCATGGGATGTATTATATTATTTGCTATAGGGGCATTGCTGAATGTCTATCTGCAATGTCATCATGAGATGAAATCTCTGAATGTAATTTCAACAAGTTGTTCAAGTGTTTGGTTGATGTAGGGTAATTGGGATGCATGCATCAATTTTTTGCATCAGCATGATGCATGCATGAAATTGATGTATGCTAAGCATCCACAACTCCCCCCATTTAATGGTACCATAGGTTTAGGCTTCTTTCTGCTAAGCTATGTTGCTCCTTTTTCTTTCTTGACATATGGCTGTGTTTTGATTGTCACATAGAGGCTTCCTTATTTTTTTATTTTCAATCTATAAGGTATGGCAAAAAAAGACCCCAACTTTTAACCTTCATAATACTGCACTTGCTGAAGCCAGTCCTACAAAACTTGGGACAATCTGCCTCAGGCCTCTGGAAATCTCCGGGTGGCCCTGATCGCCTGGCATCTATCAACTGCACTCTGACTCACAAGGAGTGAAACTACCTAGTTCAATGAGTACACCAGAAACAATGGGAAAAAAAATTGTAGAAACAACTGATAAGAAGCTATAGTGCTAATTAAAATGAATATATTATTTATCCTTAGAGGTAATTAGCCAAAGACCTATTGAGTGAGTGACACTCTTGTTAACTCACAATTGTGCTGACAGATAGATAGATCCAGAGCCAACATGTACTCACACAATGAATGCTTGACCAAGACACGATACAGACTCTGGGTTTTTTTGCCATCCATGATGCAGATAGGGCTATATTCAAACTTGAGGATAAAATTTTTTTCTCATGTTTTCAGGAAATGTTCCTGGTGGCTGGGGGCATGCTTTCACGTAATGTTAATAACATTACCTCTCTGGGGAGAAGATGAAGTTCATCTCCTTCCTATCTTCACGTCTCTTGTCTTCCTGGCGTTGTCCCTGGGTCATCTCATCTCTCATAAAACTAAACAAGATTGATGAAAACTCCTCTCCTCTTCACTTCTTGTGTCTTCAACAGGGTGGCCTACTTTTTTTATTATTGCCTGTTTTCTGTTCCTATCCTTAGAACTGCACTGGGCAGGGTGGGAAAAATATTTATTAGAACCTGTATTAATTAACCAATGGGGGGGGGGAACTATTCTCTTGTCCTTACTTTTCACCTCTGTCTGACTACACCTCCAAATACTGTGGTGGTTTATGTGGAGTGAGGCCAAACACAAATCTCAAACTTCAAGGAACAGTATTAGACATCTAAAAAAAAAAGCCATTTCTTGGTAATGTAGCTACCAGCTGTTGCAGCCATCTTGCATTAATTGTTGCCTGATAGACAAAAGTATGCATACTGTATCTGAAAGAGACATCATTTAGGGTATTTGAGGAATATGAGTTTGAGAAAGGTTGGTTCATTGGTTCCAATTTGGGATGAAGAATGTATGGCATCTTCTGAGCAACATGAGCTGAGATGGAAGCACTTCATCATTGGATTATCTGATGAAGTGTCATTTTGAATATGGCAACCAAGTCATAAATGAACAGGGTTGATACAAAGGAGTTGGAAATCCATGCCCAATTCCCTTCTCATAATTCCTATTGAGTACACCTATGCAATAACCAGTGAATTAGTTTTAAATACTAGGTTTTTGAGTACCTGAGTGTTGCTGCAATTCCATTTTATACAAAAGCCAGGTATTTGATAACTTCAGAGATTTTGTCACCAGAGGGCATTTAAACATGGCTATGGGGAGTCTGACACAGCTGCCGTATGTGGCAAGAGCAGCTATGACCTTGACTGCTAATGCAAGAAGGCAAGTACAAATAAACTCAGTGAATCCCAAACCTAAGTCATCTTGGAAGGAAAAATCATCATAATGCCAGTATGTGTGGCATAGCCTTATGAAGTTTGTCACTTGAAGATCATGAATGCTGGCTATTGCCAATCTAATTAAATTAAGTCATTTTCCTTAAGATTAATCACCTTAGCTGGTGTTTTTATCTTTTTTTTTTATTGCCTTTCCAATGTCCATTTCCTGCAATGAAAGATGTGGTTATGAGGATTGAGGTGAAATGCTATGAGAGTGTATCTCTTTCCCACTTCTGCCTTGGAATGAGTCAAGTAAAATTGACTCATTCCATTGTTTGCTTTAAGATTGGCAGACTAGGCATAACTTGCCTGGAATAGTTCATTTTGGGATAGTTCATTTACTCGCCATTCTCATCAAGGGGATGAAAATGGTGTGGTTTGAATCTCATGAACCCCCAATTAAATTCATATCCACCACTAGCCAAGACTCCTGCACCCTGCTGAAGCAATGGTTGGCTTTCCTGCATTGAATGCACTACTCCAATTATAACTTTCTCCAAGTGGAACTGTGTCTTTCTCATTTGTTAGCCTCTGCCATATCTCTATGCCAACTTTACCTTCAAATATTTGGAAGTTTCAGAGCACCAATAAGCATTTTCTGACAACAAAATATCTGGATGAATATCTTTCCTGGATTGACTATCTTCTTTTCAGGTTATTTGCCTAAGATTAAGCTCAATTAATAATAGCTACAGGCTATTAGGTTAAGTCAAAATGGGAGTTGCACCTGGTAGCTTTACGATGTGATGTTTATGCTTCATTGTGGATAGAGGACTCATCCTGGATCAGGATAGAGGACCCATTGGCATTCAGTACTAGAAGTTCTCTATGCTTTGAATGACCACAGCTTTCATTGAGGTCATTGATATCCTCGTATTGCACGATGGAGACACTATATCCGATTGGGTGCTTCCATCATAGCCTGTGATGCACAAATTTGACTATTGCTTGAAAATCAAAATGAATATTTTACTATGTCCAACTTGTGCTGACTGTAGGACTAGTTCTAATTCTGATCCCATTGCTAGAAATGATTCTCTGTGGTAACTATTGTGATTGTGATTCATTGATCAGAGAGTGGATCCAAATATAAAAGTTTTAGGGATTTCCCAGTGTTCTCAGGTGTTCCTGTGTTTTTTAATCTCTCTGTAGGTTATTTATGAATCCTGTGATCTCTTCCCTATACTTAAAAAGAATAAAACCATGACTTCCTGGCACTTATACTCTTCAGAAATTATGTAAAAACACAGGCGTACAACAACAAAGATACAAGTCTGTCTCAATCCTAAATGCTTTTATTTGACTTGGGTATTGGAGGTCTCCAACTAGGGAGGCCATTGGAATTTCATGAAGAGTAAAGCAGCAGAAACCCCACGGTGAGGGAGGATCACAGAATCGGAGCAATAAAGGGCTCAGAGGTGGGTATCGATGATCTCGCCTGGTTCTTCAATGACATCTCGGCGATCCCGAATGGCTTTGTGAAGTTTCTTACGAGGCCCCAAAGGGAGGCCCAACTTCTCCAAGTCGACCTCTTCGAGCAGCATCAGAGCCTCCAGGTCGATCTTCTCTTTGGCAAAGTTATGGATGAATTCCGACAGGCCTGCTGCCTCTAGAAATAGCTCGATCGAGCTTGTCTCAAAAGTTTCCTCATCTGTCAGAGACAAATCATGAATTACATTCACTCTCAAATCCACCCAGGTGACAATGAGATGCATCATGCACCACTCACGAATTGGTTTACATGAATGCTCAGACATTGGGAGTGATTGTGCACGATATACCAGTCAACGCTTGTACGTTGTCATCAGTGGGACAAGGATTTTTACAAATGAATATTTTTCTCTCTCATATTAAGCATAAATTTGAAAAAGAATTTGCAAGCAAGAACTTCATTCAAGAACTTCCTGCCACAAGGCCGTATCATTTCCCTACCCCTTATCATCTTTATGTCGGAGCACACACCATGATTTCTCATGGGCTACCACTGCGTTGCTTATAGGCTGTGTAAAATAAACTAGATCTCTTTGCCGTGCGATTTCTCGCAACTTTTGTGAACATTTTTCAAAATCTGATTTGCCTGATCAACAGCGGTAACGGACGAATCGGCTTTCCGTTCAGTATTCGTCCCTTCGGCCCACACGCAAATCGTGAGAGCGACCTATAGAAAGACACCGTTGGAGTCGACGAATGGATGACCACCGAAATCAACGCGTGGGTCTTTGGATGATGAATGGAGAAACGAATTTTTATAGGAATGGAGGAGTCAATGTGCAAGAGAGGAATGAGATTTTGGGGTGATGCAAAGAGACGAGCAGCATCATAGCGTCCGGCATCTCTAGAGACGAAGGCACCGGCAGCACTCATTTGTATGCGAGGAAATATCCGCCAGAATGAACAAAGTTGGAGCCAAAGCCGACACGTCTATAAGCACTCGAGCCCAACGTCACATGGAGATGCTGCGTATATCTCCCATTTTCTCCAGCAGTCTCGAATGACTTCATCGAAAGAAAGCAGGCATCCGTCCGAGCTCAAAGCGAAGGTCATCGTGCCCTTTGACTTTAACTTCATGGGGAAGGTTGATCGAGACGTCCTGGGACTGTCATCTCAGTTCAGCGATAAAGATAAAGTAACGATCGGTCCGTTACCGTAGTCTCGAGTGATACACGTTTATGGGAATGTCCCACGGGGGACAGAAACTGAAAGCCTAAGAGAACACCCTGTACGTCCTCCGTTTCTTATGGGGCAGCTGGATGCGGCTTAAAGGCAGACGATGAAAAGGGTTCTTACCGGATTCGACATCCTCTTCATCCCAGGGGGCATTGGAACCATCCACTTCGTCTTCGTCTATGATGTCCTCGACTCTTCTCGTTGGGAAGTTCATCCTCCCGCCGCTCAATCCACTCACCGTCGCCCTGTACGACCAGACAAGAATCAGCTGCAAAGTCCATGTCGACGACTGCATTCTAAAGACGGACGCGCCAACATGAATGCGACGCTGCCGAAACCGGGCCTGTCGAATATGCTGGATGGGTGCTGAAGAGCCACGTCGTCCTTGGGATTCTCCCCCGCGCGAAACACGTCCGACAGTTTCCCTCTCTTTACTGTTGAAAAAGGGGTAAATCGGAGTTCGGTTGCACACCGAGGTCTTCCGGGTGACGAAAAACGAAAGAGACGAACCGGGATTGGAATTGGAAAACGTGGGAACAAGAAGAACCTCGGAATCTCGTCGGAGTCCGGTGAGGCTGCGAATGGTCCTTTTCCCGTCCGCTTCCACCGCGCCGACTTTGAAGTCGCTGGCAGATGCGTCGGCGTGGATCTTCTTGGGCTGGAGCATGACCCCAAGTCCGGGTTTGGACTTCCATCTGGTAGAACCGACCGAGACGATGTCGGAAAAAGTCGTGGTAGAATCTCGTCGCATCTCCCTTGCTGCTCCCTGTTCCAGCTGAACTTGCATCTTTTCCCGTTCCTTTTTCATCTTCTTCTCCTCCTTTTCCGCCTTCTTCGCGGCCTCTTTCTGGATCTTGTCGAAGTCCCTGACCCGTTTTTCGGCTTCCTTCTCGGCCTTAGCCTGCTTTGCCTTCGCCTCCTTCCGGTTCTTCATTTCCTGCGAAAAGCGATTCGTTCACCACGTCGCAACGTCATCGCCGTATCGAACATGCGGGCGGCCTCGAAAGCGAAAAAAGGGACAGTACGATCCTACCTCTTCGGCTTCTGCGGCGTCCAAATAGCGAAGGATTTCTTCCTTGTTGTTGAGAGCAGCCAGATCCTTGGGCGTGTGGAAGTCGTTGTCCTTGGCCCAAAGGTTCACCCCGAAATTGACCAAGAAAGTGACACAATGCATGTGACCTCTGGCAGCTGCACAATGTAATGCTGTATTCCCGTAATGGTCACATCTATTTGGTTCACCCCTGCGGAAGTAGAGGATCACGGTGAGAGACAGTTTTTTCCTTCCGTAAAAAAAATCTTATAACTCCACAACGAAGAATCCTAAATGTATATTATCGGTAAGCTTTATGAAGTGGGTCTAGATTTTTATTAGATTGATTGTTAGATTTCGCTGAGGCGCATCATACGGTTCCACTCAAAATCTTCCGAAGTTATCCTTGCGGATTCAAGACAAGATCCTCCAAAGTCTGAAGGGGTGGCTCAGTAATATGATTCCATAATTATTAGGGTTGTACTGATGGCCACATTTGGCCGATGGCCGATTATGATCTCATGCCTATTGACCGGTGCCGGTGACTTATTGTGACGTGTAGATAAACAAAAAAAAAACATTTAAACCTTTTTTTTTTTATTCAAATAGACTTCTTAGGAAGCCACGTTCAATTTTATTATGGCTGTCACGCTGGGTGTTTCGAAAGCATCCATGTATCGACCTGAAATATCGACAGTGCACCCCGACGATGGGAGTAGGGGTGTCGACGGATTCAGTCTTATCTCGCCACGATAGGTTGCAGGTTTCACTATCGTCGTTTCTCGGGCTCGCCTATCGGGGCGCGGATCCCTATCCGTCTTCCATAATATCTTGCCTGTGATCGGAAGGGGGGGGGGGGGGTAACCGTGACGAGCAATAAAGCCTACCATACCTCAAACTATGAAAAATGACATCTAAACATCGATGGACGCGTCGGGAGCCCCGTTCACGTGTCTTTTTTTTTAGTTTTACTTCATTCTGCACGTTCTTCTTTGGACATGGTCATGACAGCTTGATGGCCTGACGCCGATGGTGCTGTACCTGTTGCCGATACCGGTGATTACCGATTCACATTCCATTTCAGATTCTTCAATTACGGTAATTGACGTACGTTTTGAGTTTTAAGTATTCAACTAGAGAACGAGGGCTAGCTGGTGTTCCAGAGACCTGGCATTCATGGGCCTGGCACCCGTAGTATCGTATCACATGACGGCAAGGGATTAGCACCTCCGATGATCACTTGTCCAACACCCCTGTTGGACGGTGAATGATAAGACGTAGCAGTACTAACTCGCCCATTGTCATACTCCAGATAAAAGTCTCACGACGGTTGGAGACTTCATGGAAAACGTTACCACTCGGGTATACACCAATATGTGCATTCCATCGCTAAAGCGGCCGTAAAGCGAAGAACAGGGGTGTGGAAGAAGCAGGTTTGGACAGTGCAAAAAGTGAGATGAGGATTCCATTCTCGAGGAGTCGAGAAGTTCCTCGACGCTCGTCGATCCCGTGTGTCCGGTCCGAACGATACTCGTGCCGATCTACAGATCGCGTTCGTGCCACCAATAGAACTTTACGCGTTCGAGGGACAGTGAAAGTGCCTCAGCGGTGAGATGAGAACGCATACCTCTCAGAGATCTACCCCGAAGAAGAGCCCATTTCCGCTCGTGGATGGATGAGAGAAAAAAGCGGGGAAAAGAGAGCGCTTGTTACCACCGATGGGGACTTGGAGCGCGGCGGGATTGGCAAGCGCGAGACGAGCGTATCTCCGCGGACGCCAAACTCGAAGGGAGCAAAAGACGAGGTCTCACCCACGGACGAGAAGCTGTCGCAAGGCTTCGAGGCGACCCTCGTGAGCCGCCCAGAGGGTCGGAGTCATGCCGTCTTCATCTGCAGCGTTGGCATCCCTCCGAGTTGCCTCCTTCAACACCTCCACCAATCCGTCCTTTGCTGCCCTGCATCCGAAGACGAGAATGGACTCATAGTTGAACGACATCGATGCTCCCCCACCAGCCCCATAGTCACTTCTTGTCACTTTCATCGCAAGCTTCAGCGTCCTACTTTTTCATTCTTTCCATAGAAACTCACTGGGCGTGCCGATCGCAGTGCCCGAATTCGAATCGTGCGAACTGTACCGGAGTGTGTCCCATAGATCCCGAACGCTGATCTTTCGGAAGGACCGCACGTGGGAAGTTTTCTTCCCACGCGGTCCCAAAAGAAGTTCCCAAAAAACACGAGGAGATGGTACTCGGGCGGAACGGGGGCAATGCGATCGCGAACGAGCGGAGGGAAATCGACTGGGACGAGATGGGTTCTCAAACGCGATCGGCCCTCGTTTCTCAGAGAAAGGATTCCAAGAACGGGCATATTTCGAACTTCAAGGAAATAACTCGGCGCTCGGGTTTCAAATGATGGACTTTGATAGTGTCTGCTCGCTACCGAGAGAGAGAGAGAGAAATTTCTCGGCCTTGAGACAACATCCGGTGCTCCTATCTCGAGCCGTTCACCTTGGAATTCTATTCATGTGATGAGTTCCACGGGAACGGTAAGGGACGTTGCTGACGAAGCTCCGCATGGGTCGTCCGAGTCTTCCCACTTTCTGGTATCCCATCCATCGTAGGAGGAACCAAATCGGCAAAAAAAATATTTTCAATGCAGCCTGTGGGGGGAAAAAGACCGGGGGGCTTTGGCGCGAGAAATATATTTCCATACGCTTTCGAAGGTCGTTCGAGCGTTCCGAATCGTCTCGCGAGCACGACGAGACGACGTAAACGTATGCTGAATGCCATTAGCTTTTCTATGGTCAGAATCTTGAGTCTGGGTTAGAGATATCGTCCCATTCGCATGTGTGACGTGGGAACTCAGATACTGTGCACCGAAAGATAAGAACAGCTAAGGTTCCAGGAAAAAGGGAAGCCAATATCATCCATCATGATTCTTTGTGTCGCTTCATCATATTATTTTTGCTTGAACGACAGCAATCTAACGCTCACCTTGCCCCGATTTGCACGAACAGGTAATGTCAGAAATGTTCACACTATCAATCAGTCAAAGTGAACGAAGAAACGAGTCCTCTCATACGGAGAGCCGCTTCACTCCAAACATTGTCGGTATTGGAAATTGAGATGGCTCTCGTGCGATGGAATTCCCAATCTGGAGTCCGGATACACGTCCGAGATGTAATGGCTGCCTCACACCGATTGCATTACCTCACCTCATTCGAGAACGAAAACCTCCATTATATCTTTCGTGAAGCCGTACGTATCACGCCGTCACGTTGCATCGATGTCGACGATGCCTTCATACCATCAATCCGCAAAATTAGAAAGGGTTATTCTGGCAATATTGTGCTCGACAGCTGTTAAAAGCATCATTCCTAATCTCATATTGGTCCTCAAATAGCATCTCTCGACATTTAGCTCTTATCTCTACGAAGTCGCATATCGATACCTTCAATCATCCGATAAGGACTTCCTCAGTTTCCCTGTAATCTGGAAATATTGTCTGGATGGAAAATATGCTGGGATATTTTTCAAGCAAAGATATCTAAAATTGGGAGCGTTTACTTTCGAGGTCGTGCTATGGTCACGGGGGCCGCGATAGTTCTCCACAAGAAAGAAGACCAGGTTAAGAATTATCTCCCGCGATAGCCATATTAACGACTTCCTCAGTGTATTCCTCCGTTCTGACACCACGGACCATCAAGCGTCCGGCATTCAACAATGCTTCCACAGAGTCATCTACAGGGTATGGCAAAAAAAGAACCAATGACTATTAACTGATACATCTCAGGTCCCACTGGAGCCATTTTCACGAAACTTTCAATGCGCATAGATGTAAATTTCTCCAGCATATCTTATAAATTTCATTTAAATTCATTGCTCCGCGGCAAGGCCATGAGCAAATGATTGAAAAGAAGTTGGATAATTGCTGGGGACAATGCTGATAGTGGAGTGGAGGGCAGGCCCGAGCGCTCTACTTGCATACGTGGTATCATCCACCCCACATCCAACTTTTCTTCCATTCAGATTCATTTTTTTTTTAGGCTGGTCTCTTGCAAAGAGTTTTTATAAACTTCTTGCAATCAATAGCAGGGGAATCAATTAGTATTATAGCACAGGAAGAATTTGATCATAGTCGATTCAGATTTTTCCTCGGTCTTTATCGAGGAACGAGGCAGGACTCGAAACTCAGGGGATTCGAATCCCCTGTCCGTTTTCAACTTTACATTTCATTCCAATAAGTGTTCATGACCTTGTTTTGGTAATGTCTATTTGGATAAACCTTCATAAGCCTGTTGGGAACACATCAATCTCTGAACAGCACTAGTTTCGTTAAAAAAAAAAACTCCACTGAAAGCGGAAATATACATGTTACGCGTCGTCAGTCCTTTGTTGCCATACTCTGTATAAGTTATTCCAATCCCGAATACCGAAATCGGATGCGTCTCGATACGAACCGAATAGACAGCAGCCGGACGACTATAAAGCGACAGTTCAGGGATTTAAAAATAAGTCCAGATCAGAATGCTGGGCGATTTTCCTCATCCTCGATTTCCTTCATTATGCTAATTTACGATGAGGAATTCGCTTCTTTCGAGTTTAATGACATCTTTGTTGGGAAAATTTAATCAGTTCGACCCTTTCTGAGAAATAAATTTGGCAGGAGAAGAGTAAGTTCCAGAGGCACAACCGAACTCGATATCTGCCGATGAGAGTCATGGTGATTTCATTTGAATGTTGCCACGCCGTTCCGATGGCCTCGCCCGAGAACGTTCCACTCGATGTCCCGACGACTGGTCGTCATGGAGCAACCGAGAGAAAGGCCTATCGTACTGGTATCGGGCGCGGGGATTCGCTCTTTCTCGCTTCGATCGACAGATACGAGGCATATTTCCAGCGAGTGGCAACAAACCCTCGTGCGCGTCCACTCGCTATGTGCACGCACCTATTTGCTCCTCGGGAGCGAGGACTTACTAGCCACATCCCTCGCTCATCGACACCTTCAAGGGCGTGAGACGAGGCGAAGAGGAGGGAAAGTCGAAGAACCCTACCTGTGAAATCGGTCGGACATCTTCCGGCTGCGGAGGGGAACTGCAGACGTTACCACCAGTCGCCGACCGGGAACGGAAACGATGGTGGCATTCGCGCGAACGCCTTCACCACATCTGTAGCGTTGGCATTCGGTGGGTTCCTAGATAACGAGTCGCTTGATCTAATCCACCACTCGATGCCGTGTGCGAGATAGGGAGGGGAATTCACGGAACGGAACGCGAGACGAGGAATGGCAGGGTAGAAGCACGGTACGAAGCAGCGTTTGCTTTCCGCTCTGCTGATCTCCCCTCACATCGGGTCTCTCACCCGCTTCCACTGCCCTTTCCCTCCCTCCAGAGGCGTACATCGTATTCCAGGGGTGGGGAGGGGGGGAGGAGGGGGTTGGCATCAAGGCAGTGAAATGACAAGCGGTGGAAGTGAGATTCCCCGGAGCGTAAAAGCGAGCCCCCCCCCAGCCCTCCACTTACATACGCCACTGCTTCCTTTCCTCACCCGTTTGTCTTCTTACCGTACGACGTAACTCGAAAAGTTTATGGATGGATTTTTGAACAGAGAACTATCCGATAATGCAGCTTTATTCCAAGGAAAATAGCATGCATTTTAGTTGGAATAAAGCTGCATTATCGAATAGTTCTCTGTTCAAAAATCCACCTCAATGCTTTATTTTCACAAAAGTCAGTTGTATGCAATCCACCCTATGTCTTCTTAACCTTTTAAGCGCCAAACCCGCATATATTCGTTTGGCCTCCTAACCGTTTGAATTCGTGCCTGGAAGTTCAAAGAGTTTAGATTTAAAATATAACGCACATTTCCCGCAAACAACCTCCGTAAACAAAAAAATTCCATATATAGATATGTAAAATTAACTGTAAAGTTAGATTTATTGAAAAAAAAAAAAACCTGGCCTGGTGGGAATGCACGACCCACAATACTGTGGCACTGAAAAGGTTAAAGGACCATTAACTAAACCGTTCGCACGTGCGAACTTCAGTCGTTGCTGCGAGCCGATCTGCCGAGAGGGCTGGGCCTTGCGAAAGCGCTTCCGACGACCTTTCCGCGACGTCGAGAATCGGGGGTCCCGTACGAGGCGACCGGTCGTCGGAATCGACGACGGCTCCCGTCGGTGTTCATCTGGTTTCGATGTCCCAATGAGCCGATCGATGTATTCGAAACGCGAGACCGAAGAAAGTCCTGCCTCGCGAGTAGAGCCTCCTTCCTCTGCAGCCTGCCTTGCCAGCTGCGATCGCACCCTGCCCTTAAGTGAGATGCAGGAAACTATTCGCGAGCTACACCTATGGAACACAGTACTAGATCGGTGAATATTCCGAGCGAAAGATCATCCCAAATTCCCTTCCCTTCCCCGAGTCTCTCTCACTCATTCAATATTTTCGAGTTCGTCCTGAGTTTCTCGTCGCATCGATCGTTTTTCGAACTCTATACGAGAAGAGGGGTGTCGATCGCATCTGTAATCTGTGGTCGATTTTTGCAAACGTGAGAGACCTTCTTTGCCCGGGACGATACCGACGTGTCGCTAACGTGCCGAGAAGAGAGAGCAAATACAGGTGTTCCATTAGTCGAGATAACGGGGAATACCTTAATTCTTCAAAAAATTTTCAAGTTGAATACCGCTTGCAACTGTTCGTTGATAGAGATGATGGCATCGAAGACGGCGAAGACGATGCAGCGCGTGTCCGAAATCGGAGTCCGGACTACCGAATAAATTTCCGGCTGGGTCTCTCGCGTCGTCGCGCGTTTCGCGTACGGCTCACAGCGGACCCCACAGGAAAGACCCACTACCCCTACGGGTTTCTCCGAACGCCGACGTCGCGGAGAAGATAAAGCAAGGCGTCCGGTGATTTCGAGTCCACGCATCCCAACGAGGACGCCGACGCCATCTGCATTTCGACTCCAGCGACACGTGGAGTTCGCCCAAATAACTATAGAAGTTTTTCACCCCTTCAGTGCTGCGAAACCTGTTCCGGCTGCCCCCCCCCCTCCCCAAAGAAAAAAAAAACCCTGGCAATAATCAGTTTTAGCAAAATCTCAATGCGCTCCTGCGCATCGTGCTCATTACACACGACGCAACTTGGAAGCTTTTACTCGTAGCCCCATCCTGCAGATAGTACGAATCGTTGCTACCACGTCGAAAGGACGCCGAGGACAGTGCGCTGCAAACGCGTACGACGTCGTAGCTACGTGCGCGGTACGGAAGGCGTTCATTACAGCTGCTGCTGTTGGAGCATCGCGCATGCGACTTAGTCCTTTCCGAGGTGGGTGTCCCTCCCCCCCCTTTCCCCCATCCAACTCTCCCACAGTGCCTGGTTCCTCCTCCAAACAAGTCCGTAGTAAACTACCACAGAAAATAGATGATTCCACAGAATCCACAGAAAACGGGAAAATATCGGCATCATTGTTATTATCACTTGCTCATCAAAGCAGTGTCCTGTTTTTCGTTGCAATGATGTTGGCAAGCAATGTATCGTTCTCGTTCCATCGTGACACGACATGGAAAATTTAGGAGCACAAACTTCAACTCAGACAGAGGTAGAAGAAATCGAGACGCATATATTTATTATTTTGTCCTTCCCCTCGAGACAGGTGCCTCAGGGCAGGTCTGATCCGAGTTTTCCAGGCTCCGTGTCAGAAGAAAGGCTTCAGATTTACTAAATGGTTAGAATTTTGACTAAGATTGGAAGTGTGATTCCACCCAGACTCTCACAACTTCGGTCCAACTTGGGTTCAACTAGCGCATTTTGGCTATTTTCGCGCCAGAAAAAAAAAAAAAACAAAACAAATTTAACTGCATATGAATTGAAACCGAGCCGTACTGAAACCGAACTGCCGTTTTGAAATCATCCAATGCCAGTTAAAGGATTAATTATGTAAAAGCCACAAACAATGGAGTGTCCAAAAGTGCGCCTTCGTGACGAACAACGTCATGGGTACAATTAGTTGGATTTAGAGTAGGAGAATGGAGATGTCCATGGCCTTGATCCGATCGAAGCATGAAGCCAGCAGTCATCTCAGGCATGAGAACTCAGGCGAGTCGCACGCTTCGAAACTGGTGACCTGACGCCATTTACGTCATACTTGCCACTAGTGTCTCACTAATGCTACCACGTTGAGTCAGCTTACCATTGCAGAACGGTGTAGCATATGCAAAAATATGGCCAAAAGCGAAAATATGAAAATAGTCTATCTCCAGTGGCAAATTGCCTGCATTGAGGGAAATACTGTATCAGTTTCACATAAGTCTAGCGAAATTTTAACTATTCACGAAGTCAAATTATATATGTGGCCCGCTTCAGCTCATGCATTTTTTGCAAGTGATAGAAATCTGGAGTTTTTTTTGGCTCTCAAGATGCAGAAGAGCTTACTAACTTCATGTCGATGATACTTTTAGCAGCTAATATCAATTGAACCATGTCTTTGGCATACTCAGGTAAACTTGTTCATAACGAGGTCGTTCTGTTAGAAGCCTTTCATGCAGTAGCAATATTCTTTTTTTCTAAGGCGTGAAGAAAAAAGTAAGTTGTAAAAATACCTTCATCGTTGTAAGATTTGCAAACAAATTGTTCGGTTACTCAGAGCATACCGAAGTAACACGTAGGTCGTGAACCACCAGCGACGTCGTGGGAAGAGAAATAGTGGCCCACTACCTCATCTAAGTTGCGGGTCATCTAGTGCATGTTCCACTTGCTGCCACCGGCTCGTCACCTTCCGAGTCGCTAGCGGGCCAACACAATCCCAAGTAGCTCCTAGGTATGGACTACCAGCTGGGAAAAAAGCTGGTGCCCCTATGCATACTCGATTTGTCTCTGAAACACGCTAAAGAGAAACGACTGCGATGCTATGCAATTCATGACAAATTCTTCCCTTTTACGTTCGATACAGGATGGTGTAGAAGTAAGTTAAAACATTCGAATGTTAAGGCATACAGAGCATAAACAATTCGAGGAAGAAAAGCTTTTACTGTCTACACATACACTTCTATTTTCTCATACACTTCTGTATTCCCAAACATAATCTAAACATTTAATATTTTCCTGAATCATACGTTTGGATCAGAACATCATAATTCCACGTTTTAGTAGTATCTGTTCGTTAATTGCATAATAAAAAGAGAAAAGGGGAAGGAAACGCTTTTGCCAAATCAGGAAGGCTGGTCCTTATTTGCATCTGGAAGCTGTAGGGGAACGTGGGTACCATCAAGTGGGGACTCTTGGTATTGCAGTTGGATCACGCCGTGTATAACATGCTATGAGGGGGGAGTGCCAGCGACATTATGGGAAGAACGCTGGTGGTCCACCACCTGCAATAGGTAGGAGTCATCTGCTGCCTGTGCCACTTGCCGCCACCGGCTCGCCACTTCGAACCGATTGGGGACCAACACGTTCATCAGATGCAATATCCTTGAGAAGGTGGTCCCGCTGGCTGATCCGGTATTCCGGCCGCCACATTAGCGCCTCAGTCAGGAATCCACCAGCAGCGACGTAGCGTCGGAGGGGGGTGCATTTGTCCCCCACTTTTTAAGAAGCAATAAAAGACGGAAAAGATCCATGATATGTGTTCAGAGTTCCCTTGCCTCCCCACTTTTTCTACTCACACTACGCTTATGTTCACCAGCATAGCGCTTTGAGCACCTCATTCTGCTGTTTCCATCGAGTTTGAAGAATCAGCCTCACTCAACGTCATCGATTTCCTTAAATAATCTCATAGCCTGAAAGAGGTCCACCCTCATTGACCTTTTGATCGAGTGGAGTCCCCACGTTTATAAAACGCTTTTCGTATAAAGTTCTCGTACCTCTTTTCTCATGTTCGTGGTTCACCTATGAACTCTCGAGCGCCGTCAGATCACATTTAAAGTCAGGCCTCCAGAACTGAACGTAATACTCTTGATGGGGTGCTGCACACCAGTGCTGCCTACAACGGATGAGTAAAGATCGGTCTCTGTATAACGGGTCTCTTAAATATGCTTATGTGTATGTACCAGGTACGTAAGTATATTTGAGTTAACCTCAACAAATAGAGTACATTGTCAACTCCTTCACTCTTCTATCTTTCCTAGAATATATTTTTCGGGTTTTATGTTGATACCCAGCAAACAATTTGAAACACATAACGTTGATTCAACGTTGAATCAACATCGAATGAACGTTCGGAACATTGATACAACGTTGTTCCAACGTAGCCTTGTTTGCTGGGTACTTTTGACTAGTAACTATTGATTTGTATCTGAAATTCATGCCCTAGCTTGAAATTGAGGTGCGAGAGTGAGGTTTTTTATTATTAAAATAAATGGTAATGTTGTACTACGATTCTCATTGCAGTGTTTTTCACTTGACTCAGACTTGACGCATAAGATTCAAGATTCAAGATTCAAGATAGTGACATCAAGAGGCGATTTCGCCCATTTCGATATCACGTGTCGAGGTCGAGCGTTCCTTAATTTTTTA